CTTTATTTTAAAATAAATGTGCATATTCTTTGTGATATGTTTTAAATATCCTTTGCAATGGCAATAAGTTTTATAATCTTATTCATAGCCAGTTAAGTTGTACTGAGGATGTTAAATGAATGGCACAAAAAATTTATTGCTGTTCAGTACTGTCTATTTAATGGGCCATTAGGCCTGCCTATTCTTTGTTTGAATATTGTATAATATTAAAAGAAAGCAAAGGAGTATTAGACTCAGTTGGGCCATTATCTTGTTACAGATATATATGCAATTTAAGGTGGTGCCTTGATACTGTGAAACTACCTGCCCTCAAATGCTTTTTCATTATATTAAGGTTGTAATTGCACATGGGTAGGTAGTCTTAGGTCTTTGTAAGAAATAGATGTATATTGGTGATGAACAAATAGATGTGTGGAAAGCATTGAAATGTTTTGAAATCACACGCAAAATCTTTGAATATTAATCAGTTATTTCCTGGGAATAAGTAGGCTGTGTCTAGAAGTTTTAAAAAATATGATCAGTGCATTATCTCATGACCTTTAGGCATTCGTGAAAGTCTGCGGTTTTCAAAAGACAGGATGCTCAGCGGTTTCTGAAAGTCAGGATTTCTTAAAATAACTTTAGTCAGAGTCCTCTTCCCTCCACCTCCCCCTCAAAAGACTGTTTGTTGTTAGTGTATAAGGGAGATCTGGTTTTATGAAATGTCTGGTTTTACCTATTTAGCCTTCAGTGTCGTTCTAAATTGCAAATATTGTGGCAAGAGGCTAACTGAATTGTAGTGATTCCAGTAAAACTTGACCTTTATTATCCAAAGGAATGAGAGGGAGGGATAAGACCTTATCCCACTAAACCATGAGATGTTTTCCAGATGTTTGTCATCCATACCTGTCTTAGTAAATGGCAGTGACCTTGCTGACATTTCTGCTTTTCATAAACACAACAGAATAAATTTAGACCTGAGACACTTTTTTGATGTGAATTGTGGGTATGCATGCATGCTGTCTATTGTCCAGGAAGGCTACAGTGAACTTCCTTGCTAGTTACCAAGGACAGTAAGACATTGGCCTGGTTTTTAGACATGTGCACTCATCCTTTTAGAACTCGTCGTTCCTGCGATTAGTAAAAAAAGGTGATAATAAAGATGCCGCTGTTACTATCCTTTAAATCAGCTGTCTGGGATCCCAGCCCTGGGATCCCAGCCTTCAAGAATGCTGCTGTCATTGCCTTGCTGCCCACCATGGTGGTGTTGCTCTGCTGCTCTCTGTCACCTCCTGGCCCCGCTCTCCCCCCGGGCTCTCACAGCCGCCTTCCAGCCACTGGCAAGGGGCTGTTTCACAGATCTCCTGCAGCCAACTGCTCACGAAAAAGTTTTTAGCTTGTTGCTGTGCTTCATGCTCCACTGTTTGAACTGGTTAACTACTGGAATAGCCAAAAAGTGAAACCTTGATGTATATTTACTAAATGCTAGTTGAGAAGCACATAGGAAGCTCACAGGGGAAGCAGACTGGATCAGGGGATGCAAAAGCCATGTTCCAGGCACTGGTTTTGGAGTCTTCTCTGAGACAACACTTGCCGCCAGGCGGCCCTGTCCTGCTGGCCCTCTTTAAGGCAGACAAGGAAGCAAGATAAAACCTGAGTGCGAAGTCCTGCTCTGAGTCTAGCAATAAAATAGTTTAATGTTTACCTCTCTTTTGATATAAGTATGTGGCATATAGTAGTCATTTGAAGAAACGCTCAGAAACCTAGCAACAGTTCAGGTAGGCTCTCTCAGGCAGCAGTTCTGTTCGAGGGTTGTCAAGGGGGAGCTTCTAAACTGGTCCCCTGGTACTGGGGGTTGGACCTTCCTCAGCAATTCACTGCCCTGCAGAATTGAGGAGCACTGACGTCACCAAAATGGACAGATGTGAAAGACCTCACAGTTTGTACCAACAGCCAGGACAGTCCAGGTTTTTAGTATTTTAATTCAGTTCCTTTAAAGGACTTCGCTACAGGATAGAAATATGTTTTTTTACAAAGCTGTATCATTTGTATTTCTGAAATGCTCTCCCCAAATGTATACGTAACGCTATCTAGAGGGAAGACATCTATCATGAATCCCAACTAAGGAAATATGCTGCAAACACAAAAAGCAGTAAAGATAATGGTGGAATGTGAGTGGTACCTGAACATTGAGGCTCTGGTTTGAATGCTGCTGGACTTGCTAAGCCTCTGTCAGTCCAGAAAGGTGCTGTTAAGACATGTGAAGATGCAGCCAGCCGCACCAGGAGGAAATGGACAGATTGGCGCAAACAGTAGATGTGGGCCAGGGGGTTTTTACAAAGGGGCGTCTTGTAGTCCTAGTGGCTTAAACTTAGTGTCTTAAAAATTGAGCGTTATCCAAATTAGAATATCTAATTGCACGTAGATGTCGAGATTGAAAAAACGCTCAAGTCTTCTTAACCTGTTTCAGAAAGCAGAGCTCTATCTGCAGAAAACATACACTATAGTCTGTTTGGCATTCTCTTTCAGTTGAAAACAAAGTAGGCAGAAGGAGCAGATGAACTGCCAAATAAAGGTAATAAACAGTAATTTGCCAATTTTGAGTTCTTTACAGCAAGTTTTTCTGATACTTATCCAGATATCCAGTCTTGATAAACATTTTTAGGATTTAGAGTGAGGATGGGAGGAAATTCTGGCGTTTTGAACAGACGAACACTTGCATGAGTCATAATCCTTAGTAAGTGTAATAAAGGCCTTGGACAAAAATAGTGTAAGACACAAACTCAAGAAATTGAGTTTAGCAGAGTCTAGCATTAAGGTAAAAGAAATTGGTAGTTGTTCCCTAAAAGATTGTTTAAATTGAAGCCAAGTTTATGTTTTCATTTGTTTCACATGGGAACAATTGCAAAGCAGTGCAAGTAAGTCGAATCTGCTAAAACCAGAAATTCTCTCCTGTCTTTCTGGAAAACATTCCCATTTTAAAGTTGTGTCAGTTCAGTTTCCCTCGTGACAGTAATTTTGAATTGAACTATGCACTTAACAAAGGAGAGGGCAAGCGAGCATTGAAGGATTTGAAATTATATATTCTGGACTTATGAAAATTTTATGGTTAAAATAAATAAGTAAAAGCTTTCCAGAAGTGAAATGCTGTGGTTATCTAAGAGGTCTTATCTCTCTTTCTATCTTCATAATAAACAGCTACTGATTAAATTAAGGAGCTGCTTGATCTTTAGCACTACAGGAGGAAAGTGGTTTCTAGTGGGGGTTACGCTATAGGGTTTTATGGTGTCCCTTTCTCCTTTTCTTTAGCCCTGCTCTCCCCCCACCCTCCTCATCTTTTTTCTGTCCTTTTTTTTTTTCTCTTTTTCTTCTCTTCTTCTTTTTCCTTTTTTTTTCTTCAGGCATCACATCTATTCATGTTTATTTTAAGGCCATTGTACACGTGGGGATTTTTCTGTGAGCAATCAGTCACTAGAGAGTAGAAACTGAGCATAAGGAAGGGGGATAGATATATAAAATATAAGAATCAACAGACAATTGAAACTGGTTTTCTTAATGACAATGTTTAAATTCAATGGAGTTTGCTTTAAATATATGGACTATTTTGACACAGATATTTTCAGAGCCATGATACCAGATCTTACAGATTAATGCTTTAAGTAAATTTTCTTTCTGTTCAACACAACATAACTTCACCGAGTTAAGAGTTTGTGCCATTGTAATAGTTTCAAAACATGAATAGCAAGCTGTTGATCAGAGAACTCTTGGTAGAGATAAAAGCAGCTTTAAACCTGGATAAACTGCCTTGTTGAATTTTGCTCTGCTATTTATACTGTCCCATCATGCTGTATTTAGAGCCAAGGGTTTGGTGACAGGAGATGAAAGTTTGTGATATGCTTTAGCTTGGAGGGTGAGATGTGCTAAATGAAACATTAAAGAGTTCTTCTATGCTTTGTTCTGTCCTAATGCGAGTTGTCAGAGGCTTTTTGTTTGTTGGGGTTTTTTTGCTGGAAAAAGCATAAATTTATTTTATCATAAACTCAGTCATTTGTAAATACTTTGAACTGGAGCAAGTTTTTTTCCTGCAGTTAAGTTAAAAATAGTATGTCCTAGGGACAGAAGAAGCAGCTGTGTTAAAGTATCTGCGTATTGCTACGTTTTCAGGATCTCTGTTAATGATATAAAGTCAGTTGAAATGACATCCATTACATATTTGTCCAAGCAAGTGGAAAAGGAAAATAAACAAATGTGGTGCTAGAGAATACATTAGAATTGGGTGTCTCTGCCCGTGTTTCCTAGTCAGAGGAGCTGGTATCTATATTCTACCCACAGTTGACTTCTGTAATGCATGAGCAGTACTAAGACAGTGCTACCTGATATATATTCTTATTCATCTTTACTGTTTTATGGTTCATATATAAGTAGATAAAATTTGTTGCTTCTTCAGAGCCTTTGCATGCTCTGAAGAATGCATAACGGTTTTAGAAATGATACTTTCTCCATGAAAAGAAGCAAAGTCAGACTTCTTAGTAGATAACTTCATTTATTTCATGACCATAAATATTCCTGCAATAATGCAGACAAATTCTGCCAAAGGAGAAGATAACTATTAATAAAGTGGGTGATATGAAAGTCTTTCTTTATTAATGCTTATGCTGTTAGAATCAGCAAATGCTACCCTGCTACACCATAGGTTACAATTTGTGCTCCATAGACACTTGTTTGCGATTACTGTCAGCATACAACTTGAGCCAGGATTGTACATTAAGCTACTGGAAATTAATATAGCCTGTGGTAATCCTGTTCCGAACCTTGTTAGAGCTTTTGTCCTCTTGTGTCTTTTGCTAACCTTTGTTTTCCAGGTATCTTATCCAATTTTTTCTGGACAAATCCATTGAAACATAACTTTTAAATTGGTATTATACAATACTATTTTATTATTAAATGTCATTAATATTTTAATGCTTACTAAAATCTAGCTTTTCCACTCTTAATTTTTGTAAACTGTTTTTCTCTCTTAGTTTTGGATATGGCCCGGCATGTTCCCCTTTATCGAGCCTTGCTAGAATTACTCCGTGCTATCGCATCCTGCACATCGATGGTACCATTACTGCTTCCTCTGTCGGGAGAAAATAGTGAAGAGGAGGAAGAACAGTTGGAGTCACAAGCTTCTGTTGGGACTTTGCTAGCTAAAATGAAGACGTGTGTAGATACCTATACCAACCGACTGAGGTAACCACTTTCATCATCCCTAACCTTCCTTTAAACTGTATTTTGCACTTACACATTATGAATATAGAAGTGAAAGAAGATGCAGTTCTGTATATTTATCTGAAGAAGTGCTGCAGTCCAGATTGAGAACATAGCATCTGTTTGATCTGGATTTACATTTGTATGTATATATTCTGTTTTGCTGTACAATTTGCAAGGAATTTTTTGTGTGACACAAAGAAGCTGGTAGGTTTGCATACTCTTCTCTCTTCAGCAGTAACTGCCCACTGATCAGAAAGAGGATTGCTGTTCAAGAATTTGGGAGCTTCAAATCTTTTCTAAATTTCTTTCCCTCTTCAGTGAGGTGAATCTTTTGTTTGCAGGACTGTGTGTTTCCTGCTGTCAGTCTGAAGGCAGGAGCATTCCTCAGGAGCTGTTGAACAAGCCTGTTCTGTAAAGAATGGGGTCGGAGAGGACCAAGCCAAATGGTAGTTTTTACAAGAAGTGTCCCAACAATCTTCCATATGCTTCTGTGCTGCTTTACCTTTTTGAGTAAGGACCAGGTTCCTCAACGGATTCTCCATCGGAGGCTAACTGGTTAGGAGAGCAGCCTTTGGCTTCTATCAGGAAGAATAAGGTTCAGGAGGCAAAAAATTTGGGAGCTATTATTTGTGGTGAGAATCCTAATTGTACAGAGATGGTTGAAAATTTTTGACTAGTAGTATCTGTTGCTGCTACATACAGAAAGCACATTTGCATGCATTGGTGATTTTCCGGCAGTTTGTTTGTCCATTAGCACAGGCGTCAGAAGTAAGGTGGTGTGCTGAAGACGATGTGAAATAACGAACAAATGCTCTGGAGCCATCCACACCAGACTTTGGAGTCTTCCAGGCTCCTTTGGGAAACTCTGTGTGTGATGGTTCTTGTCAAAGAGTTGCAGTCCCGCAGAGGAATTAGTGAACAAATGTAAAAGGATCCGAATATCCAATCTCAGCTGTGATGCCAGCAGGCTGTGTAAGCGTTGCAGTGTAATGCTGTGTGAGCTTGTTCTGCACACCTTCCAGAGTTCAGCTGGCTTTTCAAGGAAACACATACAGACAAAGCATGAATGACAGTTTCTTTCAGTAACCATAGGCCAGCCTCTGGGTAGCTCCCTTTGTAAAATGGTCATAAAGAGGATAATAAGCACAGATTCTCTTCCAGGGAATGTGTGAGCACAGTCTAATTGTTTGCTGTTTATCTTCCTTGGTGATTTTGGTGTAGTCCACAGTTACAATACAGTTGTGCTTTGTCAGACCTGATATTTTTGTCCTATTATCACCCCTGGCTGGTTGGGCCATTGATGTTGGAGAAGAGTAAAATGTAGACTGGCAGTCTTTTCCCATTCTACTCAGTAACAACCAGTACCCATACTGCTAAATCAGATTTCCCTCTAATTATTCTCCTTTGACAAAGAAAAACTGAATGTTCTGGATAAATGCAATGCAGCTTTGTATTATTTCAACAGCCAAAACTATGTACTTTTACTTTCCTGGTGTTTTTTTTTTATCTTTTCTGACTGTTGCAAAGGTCAAATCATCTTCTCAGAGTACTTCTGAGTGATTCACACAGTGTTTCTTTATGATTGCTTTTATCATCAATTCTCACACTGCATAACTATGGCATCTCACCCTTAGAAAGGCTGCTATCACTGAGATCTGACTGTCACCTTCCGTGAAACGTTGCACTTCTGTTATGGCTCACAGGCCAGGATACAAGTCTGAGAGGGTCTGCTTTTCGGTCATTTGATCGATTAAGTCAAGTGCTGCGTGTGGTTGCTGTTTGAAGAGACGGTCACCAGACTAGCAGACACAGAAGGAAGGAACCCTGACGTGCCTCCCAGTACCTCCTGTCTCTGGGAGGTGCTGTACCTGGTGCAAATTTCACAACTAGCTTTCCATCTCTGTTTCTTCATATTTTCAACCGTTCCAGTTTCCAGAACTGAGGATCTGGGAAGGTTTAATGACAGAATCATCTGTTTCTGCCCTGACTGAGCAAGTTAGAAAAACAAATGCTGTGATATGAATTTTCATTTCTTTCTTTTTATAATTTTCTGCTTCCAGCAATTAATTGTTTTCTTTATTCTGTTTACTTGCTTCCAATTTAAAGATGGCTTGTTAGGAAATAATACCCATCCTTCCTTGCAAAATTTAGTGCTGTCCCTAAGCATATGCTGAAACAGCATGAAAAGAAAGTAAATAAAATGTCAGGAAAAGGCATGTGTAAAACATTCCCCCTCACATTGTGAACTGAGGATATTTAACAACAAATACGTGAAAGATTTTCTGAGCAGGAGTCTCACTATTGGGAACTCTTTCTAGTAACTCCTGATGAACTGGACTTGACCCATGAATTTCTCTAATCCTTTTTGACTGATGTTGCTAGTCTTGCATATCAAGCATGTAATGTACCTGTGGTGGAAATTTTTTCTGATTTAATGCAAAAGAAACAGAATTAGGAAGTACAAATAACAGTTCTTTGTGTTGGATACCCATCTAAAAATGCCAGCTTGTGCTTGCTGGCAATACTATGTAGATCATGGAATATGTAATCTTAAAATAGAAAAGAAAATATATTTGGCTTCTGTGTAATCCATTTGCAGTATAGATAGTATGTATAAAATTCACCACAGTTCCTTTTGTTGTTAATCTCATCATCTGTTAGCCTCAGATTTAATTGGCATGGAAACCTGTATCTTCTCATGTCACTTCCCCAGGTTGAAGTCTAAAAAGTGTCTTTGAGAGACTACTACTCATAAGCTCTTTTTAATTTGGTAAAATAAAATATGGTACGACTCGTTCTTTAGTGTCAGCTTAGAAACTGAAAACTAGGAAGAATTCTAGAAGCACAATCAGTGTTATTTTAATAATTGGTGAATTTGATTAAAATGCCATGGTTTATTCAGTTACATTTTCTATATAATTTTCTTATATTTGATATATCAGCACAAAAAGAAATCTTACCTTTCACTGGTTGGTTTAAGCACAGTACTGTTTGTCTTTAAAGCAGTAGATAGACAAGGATGAAAACACCAACAGCCTGAACAGCCTGGAATCAGTGGGGTGGAAGGCTTTAATTCTCAGCATTTTAGTTGAAGGTTTGCCAGCAGCATAAGCAAGTGTTGGCATGAATTTCTTAAATGGGACAATCTGCTGCCCCTTTTAGGTCAAATGCCAGAACAACAACGTAATTATGGGATCTGCTTTCAGAGACAAAACTTTCCTGTATCTGAACAGCAATTCTACTTGCATGTCTACCAAATGTCATCTTCATGTTGGAGTGAGAGTGTCTACTTGGATCCAGAATTTGAAGGGGAATGTTCTTGGGTTGGTTTTCCACTTAGCATTTGATTTTATTTACTTTCAAAGGCCATAATAGTCTATTGGAAAATTGAGAAAATTCTGGAAAATGTAGAAGACATTTAGGTATTAGTCGATTTCTCATGACTGTTGGACTGCTGGGGAGTCAATAGCCATCACTGACTTGAGAGTGGTCAGGCTTGCGTAGTGGTTGCCACAAGGGCTGAGTTTGAGACATTTGTTTGCTATGATGGCTGAGCCCTCTGCTGCAGAGAGCTGCTGCGACTGTGCTTTCCCTTTCCACATCACCCCGGCCACCCCCATGGTAACTGCTTGAAGGGAATCTGAATTCTGTCATCTTCACGCTTCTGTTGCTTGTCACACAGCTGCGAAGGGTTAATCCTGCCAGTTCCAAGGCTGACTGAATATGTCAGCCCTGCCAATCACATTGTTGTTAGGACCTGGCTGTTTTTCTCTTGCATGGGGATGCTGGAATACAACCAGGTAGGCCTGAGGCATTTTCTCTGCTGTGGCTCTTCATTGTATTCCCTGTTATTTTGCAAAACAACTATGTGAAATGGTGCATTTTGCAAATGAAAATTTTTCTCTATAATTGTCTCCCAAGAATAGAGGCCTGATTTAGTTTATCTTTCTTTAAAAGACAAAACAACAGTCTTGTTTCTTTTGCTGCACTCTCAAGCTCATGTTTGGAGCTGGTGGGTGGCTGCAGGGAGCAGTCCTGCAGCCTCTGCTGGTTTGGGATGCTTCAGCTTAGTGTTTGTAAAGGCAATGCTTGGAGCCCCAAGGAGAAGTACACAGAGCCATCTCAGAGGAGGTTCCTAGATTATTTAGTGTTTATTTGCAAGGCATGTTCCCTTGTTTTGCCTGATTTCAGGAGATTGGTTCAAGGATCTGTGAATTACTGGAAAGAATGAGCTTCTACGTGGTACCTGTGGAAACCTGCGGAAAGTGGGGGACCGTGAGGGCTGCGTGATACCACGATTGCAAGCCTGTGACAGTTTTATCCCAAGACAGCGAGCATCAGTGTAAAACTGAGCTGAATTCTGCTATAAGCACTGCCTCTGTAGTACACAGGGGCTGAATGGTTCATTGGCTTTGTTTTGTGAATACTTTGATAAAGGTATCATTCTGTGTTATCACGTTTACCTCTAAGCATCAGGCATGGATGAGTAAGTATTAGTATTGGCTTTAAAAATTAAAGTTGCCTTGGGAGTGTGTCATTCATTATTCATTTAGCACAGTGTGAAGAGAAGGCTGTCATCTTCTAGCACAGGCTAAATTAATGGCTTAAATTATTAGTATGTACACTGCTGTCTCTTCTAGCAAATATTATTAGTGACTGTCATCCCTTTAAATAGGAGTTGACACCATTTTGTCTGCTTTTTCTTCAATGGTTGAAAAACTGTATGGGGAAGTTTCCAAGTCTAAATTAAATATTTGGCTCCTCCTCCACTCTGAAAATTGTAACATTTAAATAAAGGTTTGGCTTGAATTAAATAACTGCATTAAATTCTGCTTCACAAGCGGAATCTTGGCAGTAAGAAATCTACAGTATAATGCAGACATTTTCTAAAAATACAGAAAATGTACAGCAAAATATTCATATGGTTATATATCTGACTGTAGGGTCATTGGTTCTCATGTTTCTTTGGAATACCATTG